AACTGTCTTCGCCATGATTTTCGACCTAAATGGTAGAAGAGTACTGATTTGAGCATCTTTCGAGCTTGAATGAGTATTTGGATGAGGACTTCTTTTCGGTTTTTTTTTTCCTTCTCTCTTTCATTCTTCAAATAAAAGGTTCTTCATGATTGTTGTAGAAAATGATGATATGCTCAAATTAACCAAATTTTTTCTGAGATAGATTTTTGTTATTGGGATCAACAAGTGATAGGTTATCTGAAAATATAGAATGATTAGATCACAAAATTCGTGTTTCACACCGACTCAGAGCTTACGTTACACTCATCATTTCGTGGTGAGAAAGTCAATACTAGTTATAAAATTGGCTTCAAACAATATATCATGAGAAGTCAAAGATAAATATAAGATTTTGTCAAAGCTAGCTACAATACCTTTAAGTTCTAGAACACTTTTTGTGCTTATATTTAATATTGTTTTACACATCCTACCAAATTCTCAATCTGCATTTGATTGCATATAAAGAAATTAAAGGGATATTCCTGGGTTCAAGAGAGTGCATCCACTTTCACAATTAAAATAAAGTGCATAATTCAATAGAAAAGTTAACGATAGATTTTGAGGAGCTATCAGCCCATCACAAATGCCTTGGCCAAAAATATAAGCAAGCGTCAGTCGGGCAACCCCAACTTAAACCAGTTTTGGAATAAATTTGTTTAGTGCTGGACCATTTTCCTTGTTGGGGATTTTTAGTTTCCACTGCTACGATTATTTAAGCAACTTGAAAACCAATTAATAATCCACAATATAAAAACAATATAGAAACATCACAAGCAAGAGAAAGAATATCGAGGTTTACATTATTCGGTTGACCAACTTCAAACTACATCCACGGGCAACATTACGACAAGGCCGGCCCTGATATTCTTAATTTTTTTTTTTTGACTAAAAAACAAGGGTTAAACCCTGTTCATTAAAACCAAAAGTATGTTTACAAAAAACAAGATACGAATTGTATCCACAGAGATTAGTAGATAGAAAAAATAATTTCTCTTGTTAGGGATGTAGGACCTTCTTCTTACAAACATCCATGAAGATGAAGAGAGGGTCTTGCCGTCATTCACCGTTGACATGGATATAAGTAAGAACCAAAGCCAGCCATACATTTAATCAAGAGAAATTAAACTTTCTATAAAGTAATGTAACAAAATAAAATCAAAAGCTGATATATACACAACGACATCAGAAGCTACTAAAAAGATAAAGATATGTCTAGATAAGAAGCTGATATAACACCGCTGCATGCTTCAGCGCCATCCTCCTTCTTCAGAAATTTAGATATTAATCTCCTTGCCGTGGTATAGGTCTTTCTTCTAAGGCTCTAGCCAAAAACAGATCATCCTTTCTTCTTCCTGCTCCTGACCATTCATATAAAGAAAAGATGGTAGAATTAATGATATTTGCAACAGAGAATGAAACTTCTTCAAATACAAATTTGTTCCTTGAAGACCATATAAACCAGCATACTGTAGGAAAAATACATTTCCATAAAATTCCCTCCTTTTTTTCCAGAGATGCAATAGATAGCATAAAATCCTCTAGAGAGTATGGCCATGTAAAAGGCAAATGGTAATCACTGAAGTGCTTCCAAACAGTAGATGCAATATTGCACGAAAAGAATATGTGCTCTGCAGATTCAGGATTTGATTTACAAAAAATGCACAAAGGATCACCTTGCCAACCTTTTTTCAGGAGATTGTCTTTAGTATGGAGACGATTCATAGATAAAAGCCATGTGAAGAGTTGAATCTTGCTTGGTAAGAGAGGATTCCAAACAATATTGTAGGTGGATGATTTAATTCCTCTGGAAATTAAAAAATCATAAAGGGATTTGACAGAGAAGAGACCATTTGATGTTAAGGACCATATTGGGATATCCACCTGATTTGAAATTTTATGTATACCAATACAATTCATGAATTCCAGTTTGACAGTATGCGGTACTGTTGTAATGCTACGCTTCAAGAGAGGGTGCCAATGCCAAGTGTTGTTGTGAAGATTTCCTTGACTACGAATAGAGACATTGTTGGACCAGGCTAGAAAGTATAAGGATGGATATAAACTGGATAGAGAATTCTTACCAATCCATTTATCCTCCCAAAATCTGATTTTATCTCCAGAACCAAGAGACCATGATAGAAGTTGTATGAACACATCTTTATTTGAAATAATATCATTCCACACCAGAGAGTTAGAAGCATTAGAAGTAGCAGATTGCAAGGAAGAACCTTTTCTGACATATAGATGGTTAAGGAATGCACCAATATAAGAATCTCTATCAAGACATTTCCATAGCCATTTCGAAAGAAGAGAGATATTGAAAGTTTTGAGATCTTTCACTCCCAAACCCCCTTCTAATTTATTCATGCAAACCCTCTTCCAATTGACCAGGCATTTGAAAGGTTTAGAAACTGATTTACCTGACCAAAGGAAGTTCCTTCTGATTTTGTCCACTTCTTTGATCAACCATCCTGGTAATTTGTAAAAAGACATAAAGTATAGTGGTATTGAAGTAAGAACAGAGTTTAGTAAAACCAATCTTCCTCCAAAGGACAGACAGTTTCACTTCCAAGATGCAAGCTTATGATACAGATTGTTCAACAAGGGTTGCCAGTCTGATTTTGATAGTTTACCTCTTCTCAAAGGAAGACCTAGATATTTGATAGGAAGACTATCAAATTTGCAGTTGAGGGCTGATGATAAAGATAAGCCTCTATTTTGAATATTACCAAAATATAAGAGGGCTGATTTTGAATAATTGATGCCCAAACCTGAAATGTCTTCAAAAATGTATAAAATTGCCTTCAAAGTGCTAATGTCTTCAAAGGTGCTTCTGACAAAGAGTAATGTGTCATTAGCAAATTGCAAGTTCCTAATATGGTTGAGGGGTTCTTTGATTTGTAGACTGGAAAGCAATCCTTCATCTACGTTATACATAATCATTCTACTCAAGACATCTACTGATAAGTTGAAAAGCAAGGGTGAGAGAGGGTCACCTTGTTTAAGACCTCTTTTGCATGTAAAAGATTTTGAGGGAGAACCATTAACAAGCACTGAACAATTTGAAGTTGAGACAATGTAGTAAATCCAAGAGCACCACTTTTCCCCAAAACCTCTAGCTTTAAGCAAATTGATAAGAAAATTCCAGCTTATTGAATCAAAAGCCTTTGCAAAGTCAATTTTAACCATAGCAACTTCCTTTTTTCTCTTAGAGCAGAAGTGTATCATCTCATTAGCAATTAGAATAGAGTCAAGAGTCGATCTGTCTTTTTGAAAAGCTGACTGAGAAGGAGCAATCAAATCTTGCATAAAAGGTGCCAATCTGATTGCTAGAGTTTTAGTAAAGATTTTGAAAATGCAATTGATCAAACTGATAGGCCTAAAATCTTTAACAGTGGGATTGTCTTTAGATTTGGGATGAGAGTGATGAGGACTCTATTCACTCTATGAAGAGATGAAGGATTATCCCCAAAAAAGTTAATAAGAGCAACCAAATCTGATTTAATTAAGTCCCAAAAAGATTGATAGAAAAATAGGGAAAAACCATCTGGACCAGGTGCCTTGTTTGGATTCATGCTAAAAACAGCATGTTTAACTTCCTCTTCGGAAAAAGATGCCTCCAGAGAAGAAAGATTAGGATTCTGATCAGGGTACAAAAAGGCCCAATCAACAGAAAGGCTATTAGAGTTATCCTGACCAAAAAGATGAAGATAATAGTCATAAAAAGCCTTAGTAATTTCCTCATTGTCTGTGATCTCAGAATCCAAATGGGAAATAGAGGCAATATGGTTGGATCTTTTGTGATTGGAAGCTGTTCTATGGAAAAAGGTAGTGTTCGCATCTCCCTCTTTCAACCACTTTATGCGGGATCTTTGCAACCAATAGGTTTCCTCCTCTTGAATAATAGAAGAAAAGCTAGAATGTAAAGAAATCCTCTCATTCAACTCTGCAGGAGATAAAGGTCTCTCTTCTTCGATTAGATCAAGAGAGTTAATCTTGTTTAATAAGTCTGTTTTCCTAATGAATAAAGATCCATAAACATGTTTTATCCACCACTTTAATCTTCTCTTTAACAGATTGAGTTTATTGATGAAAATATCAACATGGTTTCCTTTGCAATGAAAGGATTTCCAAGCTGTTTCAATAAAAGGAACAAAACTACTATTATGAAACCAACTCTTTTCAAATCTAAAGAGAGGTGATTTTGGTTGGATACCCCCACTATCAAGAACAAGAGGAATATGATCTGAGCCTGAAGATGGCGGAGAGAATTGTAAACTGAGGGGATATTTCCTATCCCATTTTGCACTTATTAAGAATCTATCTAGTCTTGCCAAGGCTGGTTTGTGACGCTTATTGGACCAAGTGAAAGACCGGCCAGAAAGAGGAAGATCAATAAGAGAGGTAGATGAAACAAATTTACGAAAAGAATTGATATCACGAAGAGAACCCCCATTACCATTTCTCTCTTCTGAGCACAAAGTTGCATTGAAATCACCACAAATAATCCAAGGACCATCGAACAATTGTCGAACCCTATTAAGCTCCCACCAACATACCTCCTTATCCTCTCTATCAATTGGAGCATATACATTAGTGAAAGTAAAGAGCCAATTGGAGGTTATATGAAGCAAAGATACAGAAACGGAGAAGATACCCACATATGAACGAATCAGATTGAAAGAATTTGACCAACCAACCATGACTCCGCCTCTGGATTCAGTAGAATCTAAGATAGACCAGTGAGACAAACGATTACCACCCATAGAACGAAGCTTTCTAGCATTTGGTTTACAAAGCTTAGTTTCTTGAATACCAATGACGTCAATTGAATGACGAAGAACAAAATCCTTAACTAAAAATCTTTTGTTTGGGTCATTAAGACCACGAACATTCCAAGATGCAAATTTCATTGAAAAAAAGATTAAAAGAACCTCCTATACGACTCCAACATCTCAAACTTAACAACCTGAAGCAACTCTGTCAACCTCCTTTTCTTTAAACTTTGCTATGGAATCAGCATTCAAAGTAACTCCATAGTTTTCCGCAGTATCCTCAAAAGTATTGTGATTCATAGCATTAAGAGGCATCTTAATGGAAGAAGATGAAGAAAGAGCACGTTTCGTACCTTTTTTTAGCAATTTTGATATTCTTAATTTTTCACGGGGCCCTAATCAAGCTTTCAAATGAGGGGCCTCTATATACAATATTCCATACACAAAAATTTTTATAAGATAGCAAAATATTTTTTTATTAAAATAAGACAATAAGCATATAATCGTATTAATATTAAGATCAAAAAACTTCTTGATGCTTTATAAATAACACAATTCATACTACATTAAATGGGATCGCCTTGCATTTTGAGCTGCAAAATTATCAATTAAAATATTCCAATCAAGCTTCTCTAATAAATTTTTTTCGATAGATATCATAGCCAATCCATTCAATCTCTCTTGTGACATTGTCGACCGTAGATAAGATTTGATGAGCTTCAACTTTGAAAAGCTTCTCTCGGCCGATGCAACTGTAACTGGTATTGTCAATAATACTCTATAAGCAACCCAAGCATTTGAAAAACAACAATTTAGCATTTCCATAAAATTCAATACTTCAATTGCTTTTTTTGTTCCTCTTGGTATTGCTTCTCTTAAGATTTGGAGTTCTGAAAATAATTCTGTCCCATTAATATCAAATTTTTTGTCATGCTTTAGGAGATCTTCAAGGTTAAGACATGAACACTTCAAACTATCATTATCTGCAGACTTCAACCTCTCCAAATTAAACAAGAAACCAAAAGATTCATCATATTGTTGAAACTGTTCAAATCTACTCTTGAGTGAAGAAAGAGCTTGATCAACGATATATATGAAGTAATTGGCTCTAAAGGATTCTTCAGTTGTCATTGCCATCTCTTTACTAGCATTTTCATCAAAATGTTTCTTTCTATGAATAATGATATGTTCACGAAAAATGGGTTCAACTTTCATTCTAATTGCAATTTCTTTAGCCTCAACCATAGCTGCTTCAAATCCATTTTCTCTGTAGCTTTCAAAAAAAGAAATGAGCCCTCTTAAAAGGTCTATAGCAACATCAATCTGCATATCCTCTGATTGCATGATTTTACTTATTTTGTTAATAGCATTCAAAATATCAAACCAAATAATCATACCAAGTAAGAACTCAAAATTCTCAATTTCATATGTTGCTAAGCACTTAGCATCACTTTTTGTCTTGGGATCTTCACTAGAACTTGCTAAGTAAATCAAAGCATCTCTTATATCTGGAGCTTGGAATCTTATTGTTGTAACACTTTCAACTTGACCTTCCCAACGAGTTTGTGATGGTGGCTTAAGTGTGAAACCTTTAACATTATCTGTTGTAGGCATATAAAATTGCTTATAGGTCCCTTAATACAGCTCGGCACAAACCGACGAACCAACGAGGCGACGAGATCGACGAATCGCACGCAAGCAACGGAATACATCCATTCGCGTTCGGAATCAAGCCAAGTGTTGAAGAGTCAACGAGTCATCCAACCAAGGACAAACTCGGACGAATCACGATCGAATCAAGATCAGTTTCGGACTCAAACTCAGAAGCGGGTTTACTGCCAAATCAGGAATCAGATGTACTGCCAAATCAGATCAACACATCAGAGTCCGAATCAACCACAGAACCGAATCACGGACAAAACGGATACAGCGCAAGAAGACGGAAAACAACAACACCCGGAGGGGCTCGGCTCAAACCGAGCCACCCCAGGGTGGCTCGGCCCATGCCGAGCCACCCTGAGGTGGCTCGGCCAAGGCCGAGCCACCCCGTCGGCAAAGAACCCACACAAGCAAGAGACCGCAAAACAGGAGCTCGTGATTTGTTCGACACAAAAGGAGAAAGTTGTAATTTTCTTTATTTCTTGTGTTATTTGATTTTCGTTGTAACCGGATCTAAAAAAGACCGGATCTTTGTAATCGATAAACTATTACAAGAATTTGCAATGGAATCAATGATGAAGAAAACAACGATTTTCACCGCGAACATCTGTAAGAACTTTCCACCGCTTTGTAGAAGATGCAAACAATGAATATATGCGCTGCACCACTCTGAAAAAAGATAAAGCTTGCGAACAAGAGTTTACCATATCACAAAGTGCAAGGTTAAGACTATGACAACCACAAGGTGTGTAGAATGCTCTAGGATTTATCTCTAATAATCTTCTTTGTACACCTTTATGTTTTCCTTTCATATTAGAACCATTATCATACCCTTGTCCTCTTACATCACCAATATCAAGTTTAAGCTCTTGCAAAATATTTACAAGTTCTTCAAAAAGTCCTCGTCCTGATGTATCATACACCTTTAAAAATCCTAAAAAGAACTCCTTCATCTTTATTGGGCTTGTTGAAATATTCACGCATCTTAATATAAGTGACATTTGCTCTTCATGGCTTGCATCCGGAGTACAATCAAGAATAACAGAAAAGTACTTTACTTCTTTAACCTTTTGGATGATTAAACTTTTGATCTCATCTGCTATTCGAAGAATAAATTCATTTTGAATTTTGTGACTAAGATAATGATAATGAATTTCTTTCTCCTAAACTCGACGAACATGCTCTTTCATTATTGGATCAAATTCGACAATTATTTCTATTATACTTAAAAAATTTCCATTATTTTCTTCATAAAGCTTCTCATTATCTCCACAAAATGCCAAACTATTTTTAGCAAGTGTTTTCACAACAACAACTACTCTCAATAGTACTTTTCTCCAATGTCCAAACTATTTTTAGCAAGTGTTTTCACAACAACAACTACTCTCAATAGTACTTTTCTCCAATGTTCTCGTTCTTTGTTGATTTGTTCTTCAACACTTTTATCGATTGTCGCATTTTGTCGTAATCTGATCTCTAATTCAATCCAACTCTTCTTGTTAACAATGCGTTCACTACTTGTTTCATGACTTTTAAGTCTGACACTGAGATTTCTCCAGTCTCTAACTCCATCATTTGCCAATTGAATTTTGTTTGTATCATATTTGAACAACTTACAACAAAAACAAAAAACCTTGTCCAAAGAATTTGAATAGATTAGCCATTTTCTATCATGATGTTCACCATTGAATAAGTTACGAATGTAATGTGTTGAGGAGAAATGTCTGCCTTTTGAATCTTTTGGAAAATCAAGATTATCATTTCTTTTGGGACCTCTTTCAACTAGTAAGTCTCTCAATCTTATCAAGATTATCATTTCTTTTGGGACCTCTTTCAACTAGTAAGTCTCTCAATCTTTGATCAATATTTTTTTAATTTCCTGGGTCATTTATGTTTGAATCTTTGATCAATATTTTTTTAATTTCCTGGGTCATTTATGTTTGAAGGCCTTCTTTCAAGGTTTTCTTGTACCAAATCTTCATGTTCATTTATATTTTCTTCATGTTCATTTACATTGCTATTCTCATTCAAATTTCTATTCTCATTGGAATCATCATGTTCTTCACCTTCTTCAATGGAATTTCTATTCTCATTCAAATTTTTATTAACCAAATCCTCGCTTTCTTGATTTTCAGGTTGCTCATTTTCAACATTCACCGAATCTTGAACTAAATTAGAATATGTATTTCTACTACAAGTAATAAAATTTTCAAGTGCTCCCGCTTGAGATCGATTGAATTCTTCAATTTTTTGTTTCTTTATCCGCTTATCATGTCCAGACATATACTTTCGAGGAGGCATGATATCCAAATTTAATTCTGAATCTGCTACAATCTAATAAATATCGAGAAAAATAAATTAATCAAGAATTCCTACCAAAAAGCATGTTAGGGACTAAAATATATCAAATATTTAAATTGAAATTTGAAATTAAACAATAAAATCTAGTGAGAACTAATTCCAATTTCAATTTCAATTTAGGCCCTAATCAATTTCAATTTCAATTTCACAAAGCCCTAATTCCTAAACCCTAATTCCACAAAGCCCTAATTCCTAAACCCTAGTGAGAACCAAGAACTTACAGATAAATCAAAATTTCTACATCAATTCACGATCTTGTCAAAAGGAACATAGAAGTGAAGAAGACAAGAAGTGAAACCCTAACCTTGGCTTGGTCAATGGCGACGGGCCGACGACCAGCGAGCGAGAGCCGAGAGGGAGGAGGACAAGCCGACAAGGACGGGACACTGGAGGAAGATCCGAAGATTGGAAGAAGGGAGAGGTCAGAGAGAGAGGGTTTTCAGTTTTCTTTTTTTTTTATATGTGAGAGCGACCCTGGATACAGAGGACAGGTTGAAGATAGGGATGGTTTTGTTGTATATTGATGTGGCATAAACATGTACCAAAAATGTTGCAAGTACACAACCGTGTTAAGTTATTGTATAAAAAGTTATCGATCCCACGAGGAAGGTGTTTTGTAGGAGAAAATATAAATTCGGTTCTTATGTTGTGTATGTGACAAATATGAGTGATGAGTGAATGTGATTGTGAAGAGATTAAGAAGGTTGTGTAAATAGGCACAAAATGTAAGTGAGAGTGGATGTGACAATGAATAAATGATTTCCACAAGGAGAGATGAATAAAATCAAGAATCAAAAAAGAAAATCAAGAATGAAAATAAAATTCAAGAAAGTAAAGATGGCGGATTCAATTAAAGATATGGGTAATTTAGAATTGAATCCACTTCTTACAAAATGGTGATTCCCTAGAGGGTTCTAGCCTAAAGGCGAATTAAAGAAAATAAAAATAAACAAAAAGAAAAACTAAACCCAAGAGGGTTCTAGCCTCAAGGTGAATAGTACAAGAAATTAAAATCTAACTACAAAATAAATTGCAAAATCTAAACTACAAAATAAATTACAAGAATTAAATACAAGAAAATAAATCTACTCTATAAGCATAAAATAAATCTAATCTATAAGCATGAAAGAGAAATAAGAAAAACAAACCTTCAAATTAATCTCCATCTTCATCTTCATCTTCATCAAGAGAAGAAAAGAAAAATTTAAAGTGGTGAAAAAATTCTTTTATTAATTGTAACAAAAAGTTACAAATTTAGAAGGCCTTCTCAATTAAGAGTAGCTCTCCTCTCCAAAAGGAGTTACAAAAATTTTCACACCCTCAACCCCTCACTCTCTACCCCTATTTATAGTAAACAACAATGAATGAGAGTCCTTGGATGAAGACTAAAGCCCTAAGGAATTATTTTTAGCCTTTGAGCTTTTGGGCTTGGATTCTTGGGCCTTTTGCTTGTTTTCTTCATTAATTCAGTGGGCTTTTGTTGAAAGAAGAGATCTTGTGCTTTATTCTTCATTAACCTTCAAATTCTTCCTATAATTACTTCTCCAGCGTAGAAATTCAGATTGTGCTTCTTTGTACGAATATTTGTTCATGATATGTTCCATAATTACTTCTCCAGCGTAGAAATTCAGATTGTGCTTCTTTGTACGAATATTTGTTCATGATATGTTCTGATTTCAGAGATATCATAAATACAAAAGTTATAGATCTCGTTCTCAGCTTTCTAGAGAATATTTATTTAGCCAATTCCGAGTTGATACGAGAGAGATATGGCCAAAACACCAAATATTACCAAAATGTCCAGATTGCATGATTTGTTTCCTTTTTCACAAAACTTCTTCATTTGTTCCTTGATGGTATATTTATTTTTCTTGGTCTTTTAGGCTTGGACTTTTGGGCTTGTTGTTTCATTTCTTCATTTAATAAAGGGGTTTTTATTGAGAGATGAGAGTTTGAGATTTATTCTTCATTAACCTGTAATTAAAAGATAAAAACAATTATTAGTGATATATATATTCATATAAAATAGATAATGATAGTATAAAATTATAATAAAATATGATTATCATGTATGAAGGTCTCTCCAGCCTATGCCCAGGGTCGGCCCTGCATTACAAGAAATTCACTATGAATTAGGGAGAACTACAAGAGAAAATGCTCAACTCTCCTCTCTCAATCTCTCAACATCACATACATAATCAACTCTTATATTCTCTCCAAGACACACTTCTTATAATCTTGTCGACGGACAAAGACTGTGAACCCTCTCCCAATGTTATAATCTTTGAATGGATAAAGACTACAAAACTATCGCCTCTCGCACAATATTTTTGAATCAGATTATGCCCTCTGCTAACCCTATATTACAAGATTATTGGTTCTCTCCTCTTCTTGATTTTTCCTCCAATAATAGAAGACTATATATAGAGAAACCAAAACCTTACCCTAACCTAACTTTCTAATTAGAATAGGATACAAACTCTTAATCATGATGAGACCAAATCTCCTAATCATGATATCCCTCTAACCTATCTATTCTAATGAAGTTATACAAAGAATCATTGTTACAATCCCAACATTCATCTGGTCTCAAACTAAATTGTTTTAAAGGCTAAATAGTGAACTAAAAATAATTGGTTCAATTTTGGCTCAAAATTTGTCAAAGCAGATTTTTATTTTTATTTTTAAATAGGATGGGGCATAGATCCTCAGCCTAACCATGTTAGTTATGTTAACTTGGTTGATGGGAGAATTGCCAAACATGCCCTTAAAGGCTCAGTTTGACAAATCTATAATTCTATGACACGGTTTATGTAAATTAGTTCATAATTTTTTTGTGTTTGGCAAAAGTGGTTCAGGATTAGCCTAGATATTGTTTCGGCCATATTTTGGTCAAGAAAATTGGTTTTCTTTTGCTCCATAATTCAAGTTTTTGCTGGTCGAATTTTGACCCTAAAAATGACTTTCTTTTAGTTCACATCCTCTCCAACAGAAGGACAAAGCTAGGCCGATTATAATAAAATTAGGCTTTAATCAATTCTAGCCTGATTTTTATGGGTTTGTCAAACACAGTCCAACATAATATTCCTTATCCCCTTGCAAAAAATCAAGCATATCATTCTTAACCCTTTTGATCATCATAAGAACTACAAAAAACAGAAATCTACTACGAAATATACGCATTGATCATGGATAGATTGGAGACAAAATCAATTTTTAGAATAAAAAGAATAATATAATGTAAGAAAAAATTGGAAGCATTGCCGACTTTTAATAACAGAAATTTTTGCATATGGACTTTGTTTTTTCACTAAAAACTATTATTCTAATGAACACGACCTGCTCGAAAAAGTGTCATAGTCAATTTGTCAATGCAACATATAATTTGTTAGTTTTTTTTGAAAATTTCCAAATATGAGTACATTTCTATTGATTTTTCCTTGTGAGAATATATTTGTTATATTTTCTGAGTGGAAAGACATTTCTCGTGTTTAAAAAATCGACTCACACTCTATCAAAATAAATAAACAAACAATATATATATGTATGTATGTATATATATATACATACATACATATATATATAGTTTGTTTATTTATTTTGATAGAGTGTGAGTCGATTTTTTAAACACGAGAAATGTCTTTCCACTCAGAAAATATAACAAATATATTCTCACAAGGAAAAATCAATAGAAATGTACTCATATTTGGAAATTTTCAAAAAAAACTAACAAATTATATGTTGCATTGACAAATTGACTATGACACTTTTTCGAGCAGGTCGTGTTCATTAGAATAATAGTTTTTAGTGAAAAAACAAAGTCCATATGCAAAAATTTCTGTTATTAAAAGTCGGCAATGCTTCCAATTTTTTCTTACATTATATTATTCTTTTTATTCTAAAAATTGATTTTGTCTCCAATCTATCCATGATCAATGCGTATATTTCGTAGTAGATTTCTGTTTTTTGTAGTTCTTATGATGATCAAAAGGGTTAAGAATGATATGCTTGATTTTTTGCAAGGGGATAAGGAATATTATGTTGGACTGTGTTTGACAAACCCATAAAAATCAGGCTAGAATTGATTAAAGCCTAATTTTATTATAATCGGCCTAGCTTTGTCCTTCTGTTGGAGAGGATGTGAACTAAAAGAAAGTCATTTTTAGGGTCAAAATTCGACCAGCAAAAACTTGAATTATGGAGCAAAAGAAAACCAATTTTCTTGACCAAAATATGGCCGAAACAATATCTAGGCTAATCCTGAACCACTTTTGCCAAACACAAAAAAATTATGAACTAATTTAACATGTGGTTAAATACTATGATTAAGTATTTTTGAATTATTTCTTTACTAAAATTTGTTCCTCAATTTCACTTTGATTGTTTTTGCTTACTTATGTTCTTAAACTTTAGTATTGTGATTATTTATTTTCTTTAATGTTTGTTTGAATGAGCTGCACCAAATTTAAAAGTTTCATGTTAACAATTGAATTGACAAGAAATAAATGTAATCTAAAGATAATTTGAATTTTTATGTTTTTTGGATCGACATGAAACCAAGCTTGACTTGAGAAGGTATTATATTAGAAAAGTGAAAAGCATTTGAAAAAATAGTGTTATAAAAAAAGGATGAATAATTAAAACCAATAAGCCAAGATTAATTAAAAGTGGGTTAGAATGAAACTAAAGATAATATAAATTTTGTTGTTAAATCATTGATGCACTTCAGAAAAAAATCATAAAATAAAGATTAATGATAACTCTAGTACACTTTTATATGATAAAAGAATCCATATAACCATATTAAAATATTAAAAGAGTTCATGAGAATCTCTTCTAAAGTTTCTTGATTTTACTCAAAAAATTAAGCTATTCTATAAAATATTCAATAATTTAAATTTGTGTTGTATTTATAAAGAGCCTTGATGGAGATGCTTTTGTTTTAGCAGCTTGTTCTGAATGAGTCCTGCATATCAGCTTTAAAGTGTAATATTTTTTTTAATCGTGTTATATGGATGTTTGCTTGGTTTACTTATCATTCTATTATTTCTTCAATAAGTTGTATCTTTAAATTGATATCTATTATTAACACAATTTACGATGACATGCATATCTTTCCTACAAATTTGAAACAAATATAACGTGAATTTTATGTTTAGTGGTCTTTAATAAGAATTTTAGCTGTAAAATATGTTACCTTCATATTTAAAGATCTTAAAATCTGACAGTGGTACTACATGTTTATCTTTGATCGTGTCCTTAAAAATTGATCCTTCATTGGTAGTCATATCCCCAAATAAGGTTACTTGCAGAGTTGTGCCACAATGTAGAAAAAAAATATTAATATTAATTTTTTTACTTACGCTATGGTAATTAAGTATCATGTGCATAATTTTTGTCCATTATAGTGATTTTCCTCATCTTATCTAACTTGTTATATCTCGCTATATAGTTGATCAACTACTTGACTTTAGTTTCTATTGCAAAATTATTTATATATAATTTTATATTAAGTTTATGATTCCTTTAGTATTTCAAGAATAACGTATAAAAATTTATAAGTACGTACTAATTTTTCTTGTATCTTTAATGAAGAATGCTTTCTTAATTAGGACAAAATTATTCAATATGTTCTTCAAGGGGAACTCGGTCGGTGCTTCTTTGCTAGATATGTCTTTTATCAATGTCAATTCAAGTGATTCATGAATGTTTCCGAATTTTGAGTTTATTTCCTTCACTTATTCATTTGAAATGAAACAACTTAGTTCTTTTAAAGGACATCTCTTAACTTTCTGATAGTTTCTACATAAATAACTCATTGTATTTTTTACCCTATAAATATTATCACTATCAGAGATAAATATTTATACATTATAATCAATTAATGCTAACCTATTATATTATAGTCTTTCATTAATTTGTCTTCTATCAATGAGTGTTATTAGTAAAATTATATGCAGTTCCATGAATTTACATAGTAATGTTAATTTTTATTCTATTATATATTTTTAAATTCTTATTCCTTAACTGGATAGTTTAAGTTAAATTTATATATATATTTAATATAATAATATCAAACATTTCCTCTTTTATTTGCCAAATTTTAGCTTTTTTGTGATTTTGAACTTTTGAGGGTGTGTTTAGTAATTTTTAAACTTTGATAGTATTTTATGAAAATTTTAAATTTTAAGTTGGATGCTTATAATTTTTATATATTTTTAAATTCTTATTCCTTAACTGGATAGTTTAAGTTAAATATATATATATATTTAATATAATAATATCAAACATTTCCTCTTTTCTTTGCCAAATTTTAGCTTTTTTGTGATTTTGAACTTTTGAGGGTGTGTTTTGTAATTTTTAAACTTTGATAGTATTTTATGAAAATTTTAAATTTTAAGTTGGATGCTTATAATTTTTATGTTTTATATGTTGGTGGTAAGTTTTTAAATGTTAGAATGTTTATTGTAATTTTGAAAATTTGAAAGTATTTTTACAATTACTAAAATTTTGGGTTGTTTTTTGAAAAATTTAAATTTTTAGCTATCTGCTGATAATTTCTAAATTTGGTGTGTGCCAGCTATAAGTTTTAAAATTTTAGGATTTTTTATAATTTTTTACTTTTGAGGGAGTTTTTGTAATTTTTATAACTTTGATGTTATTTTTATAAATTTTAAAATTTTAAGTGCCTAATGGTAATCCCTGGAATCCATCTATGTTTTTTCTAAGTTTTGAAATCTCAGAAATTTAGGGTGTTTTTTGTAATTTAAAATTTTAAGGTTTTTTCTATAATGTTTAAAATGTTGAAGGTGTTAATTGTAAATTTTAAATTTTTAGATTTCGTGTTTGTTTTTAAGTTTAAATAAGTCAAGGTGTTTTGTGTAATTTTAAACTTTTAAGGCTATTATATGTAATTTTTGAAACTTTGGGTTTTATAATATGTTATCTACGTATACTTTCTTAATCTTATTTTTTCTAATTTGTTGAGCTATAAGTAGTTCATATGAAGTTAATATAGCATATAATTAGTATTTGGATAGATTAAGATTTAGATAAAACATTCAAAATAATTTTTTTTTAAAGTGTTGAACTGTAGATAGTTAACGTGAAATTAGATAAAATATAATTAAAATTAAAATAGATTAAGATTTAAATAAAATATTCAAAATAGTAAAGAATAATATTAACGATAAAAAGTTTTAAAAGGCGTATATGGTATATGATATGATATATATAATAAAATCATGCGAAAACTCCTTGACTACTGTGCATTATGGGTAGGATTTGATCTGTTAACCCGACCCAACACCAAACTTGAGATTAATGCTT